GTTACTAAAGGATGACTACCATGCTGCGCCTGGTCCTACGACGCAGCAATATGACGCCTTACTATTGATTTTCTCAGCCCTGAGCTCAGTGTTCCTCCGTGTTTTCTCCTCTGTTCGACGTTCGTATTTGTCTGCTTGCTTAGTATGATAATATAAATGTTTTTCAAATTTAAGGTACCCGTGAGTAACTCAAGAAGAAATGGGATCTGCAGGAATCGCTATTGGACCTGACGGAAAGGTGATTTTTCAACGTTTTTTTGTAGAATTTGGAGTTTTTGGTGTTCAAGAAAATTAGCGGAATATGGATTTTTTTTGCATTTGAGCTTATCTGTACCGCAAAGAAGTACCAATTTCGAGTTAGTGTGTAGTAGTAAAGAAATTTGATTCTGGTCGGAGAGTATGTGGTTATAAAGTTCTCATTGAAGAACTGCCAGAAATTTCTGAGCACTCAACCAATTCTAATTCTGAGAGTAGATCTCAACAATTACTTTGCTCTCGGGACGCACTCTTAGGGAACTGAAATATAGTGCTGCGAAATATTCCATCGTTTTTTTTTCATCTAAATAGACGTGGTTTGAACACGCTCTCCATAAAATAATTGATTTAGCCACTTAAACGCCAAGAAAAGAGAACCCAAGTTCCGCGTGGTGGCATCACCAAGCCCGGAATGAAGAGAGGAGGAATGCCTATGGTATGTTCCCGATTTACTGCTGAATTTCCTTGGTTCAAGGTTTCCTCTTATGCTTTAGCGTCCAATGCGTGGAGGTATGGGCCCTGGCCCGCTCATGGGTGGATATGGCCCTGGTCCATTTGGGCCTGGAGGCTTTGGACCTGGGATGAGAGGACCCATGCCTTTTGGAGGCGGACCTGTTCGAAACATGGGACCATATGGTGGGCCTGCTGGACCAGTTGGTCCAGGTCCTGAACAAAACGTAACCTTCTTCAAGGGCCCACAGCAAGCTGCTCCTGCTGGGGTACGTTTGACTTTCTGAAGACGCTTCTTGTTCTGTCCCTTTAGTTGGCCACACTATTACGCTAGAAAAATCACCTCAGCTCTCCCAATGCTGTTTGAAAGGGAAAGCTAGCTTTACTACTACAACCATTTTCCATTCACAATCAACTCAAGTCGAAACCCCTAATTGCGAAATTGCGAAGTTCCCTCGAACTTTTTGCCTCATTTTAGTGAAGTAGTAAGTGCCATTGAATTGGATTGTTGTTGTTTTTGATGCAACATGCTTTTTGATCGAACTTTTTTTT